TTTTTTTTTTTTTTTTTGTCTTTATTAATTTACCTAAAATCTTTTTTTACCATTTTTAATTTAGAAATCCTTTTTCCTACTTTGTGATTCTCTAACTCTTATTATAAAAACTATTTTATGTCATTTTATACTTATCAACTAATATTATCAAACACTTTCAATTTAATCAAATAACTTATAAACTTTCAACTTTTTAATTATTATACTCATTAATTTTTAACTAGCTTATAAACTAGTTTCACCTAACACATCCTACAAGTTTTCAAATTTTTAACTTGTAACTTATAGCTTATAAATTTTAGTTATTTCAACTTATTGATAAACTAGTTTTACCAAACACACAGCTAACACGATAGTGAATGGAGGCTTAAAAATGAGTTGCACCTTTAAAGTAGTCAAGCTGAGGAGGGAATTACGAAACCATTTTATATTATCAGAATTTAGACAGTCATCAGGATCAGGTATAATATATTTTACAGAAGGCACCAGGATTCTTCATAATGCGGTTTGGATATCATTTTAGTTTTTACATGAATTTTTGAAAGTGTAAAAAGTGAAATCAGGACTGGAGGTCCTTACTTGATTGAGAAGCAATAAAGATTTACTAACATGATAATCAGCGAACATAAGAAACGATTGCCAAATTACCTGGGCAGTAAAGTGCCTGTGTCCCGGAGATAAAGTACTCGAGGCTCGACCCATCGCCCTCTCAAGCAGAATGCGCATGGATCTTTCCTCCTGTAGGCGTAACTGTAGTTGCTCAACCTGTAAATCATAATAGTGAGGGTCTCAAGCTTTGTTATCTTCATCTGCGTACTATCTAGTGTTCTTTTTCCATTGTATTATCTTGAGCTGAAGATTATTCCAAAACTCTACTTGCTTATGTAACTCCCCAATGAAGGATTTTCATTTTTTTTCCCGTGAAGACAGGAGAAATTTATTATAGAAACACGAAACTTTTTGTCATTAAGTTCCATGATGATATCAAACAATTCTTTTCGCGTTTTCAAAGAGGGTTCACGAGCTCACACATGCATTGGCTTTGACCCCTTTGTTCTTTTTCTCCAACTTTTCAATTTGAACTTTTTTTATGCGTCAATTAACTCAATACTAGAAGAGAAAAAAATTTCAAGTTACGAAGCCAATTTTACTAGGGTGAAATGAAACCAAAATACATGAAACCAAGAAGCACACAGTCGGTCAGAGTCATCTCAGGTCAAACAGAATGTGGGAAGTCAAACAGAATTGTTTAAAATAAATTTTGAAGAACCTACATGTCCAGTGATACAACAAAACAAGAGATAAGAGCTTACATCTTTCTCTAAGGATGCTTTGTGACTTGAAAAGGTATTCTTGTTTACACAAGTCAGATTGTCACGCGAAGGACTCTGTAACCTAGAAGCACTCACCGAAGGTGGCGAAACCTGTTCAAGTCAGGATAAAACCAGTTAACTATCTTCCCAGTTATACTCAAAATCAAGGTATAATGACTACACAGTGCATCTGTAATGCAATAATTGTTTGTTAAGAAGAATTAGGAGATATGATTTCAAAATTTAAAGATTAAATTTAAATTTCAGTCTCACAAGGGATTCATTGTGGCCTTTCTCCAATGGATGCGAGGCTCCACCTCTTGCAATTTTCAAATTCCTTTCAGAAGCACTGAAAAGTGCAGGAAAAAAGAAAGAAAGAAAAAATGCCGCGTCAGAAAATGAATCAGCCTAAGACAATAACTGCAATGCGTCTAAAGAAACTAGATCAAAATTTTTCATAACCTAATCTAATTTAGACCAAGTTTTCCAATTCTCGGGAAAACTAGTTTTTCACTAATACATTGAACCAGAGCCAATCACCCAACAATAACATTAATAAGCCAAACCAGTTACTTTAAAAAGAAAAGTCAACAGTGAAGGAAAATCAATGAGGCAAATTGAACCCCAAAAACAAAAAATATTGATCTCAGTTTTCTCATTCAAGCACACGTACTTGGAAATGCAGCTCCCAACAACCAAATTACTTCCTTCCCCCTCCTATCTAATCTCTAACCATTCCAAACTTTCATCCCCTCTCTCGCACTTATACTTTTCCCACAATGTCTTCAAAATTGAAAACGAAAACAAACGTACGACGAAACTTCACATCACACTAACATCCACACATTACTCAGCACAGAAACAAACACATTGATCCACAAAACCAGAAATGCACAAGTATTATCACGCAATGCTATTATCCACGTTGTTATAAGAAATTGAGCTATTGAAATGTGAAAAAGGACCTCTTAGATCGTCTGTGTCGAGATTTTCCATGGCGAGAATCTCCACGGAAGTGAGTCATTATTAATTCTCAGGTATTGTAGAAAGTGCATGCATTGTTCTTGAGTAGCGGTATTAGTTGAATTGTTGTTTTATCAAGAGACCAAGTGAAATGAGATCATAAATGACAAGTACAGATATGTATGGCGCAGAGAGAAAGAAAGTGTGTGGGCCTGAGTTAATTGAATGTGGAGAGCGAAAGCTTGGAGAGGAAGAATAATTGAATGGAATCTGAATGCGAAGTGTAAATAGCAATATAGGTTACCGAAAGAGTGCGGCAAGGTGGTGACCCCGCAATTGAATTCGAAGGGTTTTGGGTGGTTGGGCGCATTCAATGGCCGTAGATCAACTTCCACAGTCCACACGCACTCTCTCAACTCAATGCTTCATTCCCGCTAACGACTGTGCTAGTGCTACAACCACTTGCCCGCTACGCTTGTTTAAACTCAAAACACACCTGGGAATTTGGTTTCTCATATCACAATGTTTAATATTTAATAGACCAAATTATATTTCGATATTTTATCTTATTTTTTTACATTCATTTACTTCTTTTATTTTATTTTTTTTAAATATTTTAGTTCTTAATTTTTTTTATATTTAAAATCAGTCAATTTGGTCCGTCAAAATCAAAGTTCCGATGTATTTTTTTTTATAATCTTTTTGACAACAATCTAAATTTGTTTTTTATATACTGGCGAAAAGTGAACAAAATTAAACAATGACAAGAAATTAGCCTCTTTGGTGTGTCACTTTCAATGATAGGATATTTCTTGCTTGATTTAAATTGTGTAAGTCGAATTATTTGATTCACTTGTATAATAATTGTCGAGTACAATTGATTTTCGGACTAAAATGATTAACAAACATCATGAAAATGGTGTGAAAATAAGTTGAGTAAATAATAAAGAATTAAAAGAATTATATTAAGTTTTTTTAATTGTTTATAAGATTTATTCCTCTTGCAAAATTTATTATATTTATAATTTTCTTATTTTAGTATTGATGAACCTTTATACTTTTTGTGTAGAGAAATTTAATAAGACAGATTTTATGTTTTAAATTAGTAAAAATAAAACTTTATCCCAAAATTAAAGATAATTATTTTTTTTAATGACAAAATTGATTCAAATTTAAAAAAAAATTGAAATGAATTTAAAAATAAAATATTACACTAAAAGTATGATTTAACTTATTTAATATTAAAAAAATAATCCAACAATATTTAAGATTTCACATTTTAAATATGCACTTTTTAGTGTCAAGTTATATATAAAAGAATGTTTATTTCGAGATATCATATTATATAATTAGGAATCGCATTTTCATAAATACTTTGGCTATAATGTTACTTTTAGTTATATTTTTTAAAAAATTATTTTTTGTTATGTTGTAATATTTATTTTAAAAAATAATATAAGAAGGAATTTAAAATGTATTAGAAAATAACTTCTTTTATTTTCATAGGATCTTCCTCATGAGAATGAAAGTGGAGGAAATTATGATTGCACAATGTTATCAAAAATCAATAATGCTCAATAATATTTTTTCAAACCTCCTAATAAATATGAGAGTATTTCATTCCTATGTTTAGGTTACTAAGAATTTATCATTTGTATATTTTCAATTTACTCAAAGAAATGAGATTGAAGGAGGATTACTTGGAAAAAAAAACTAAAAGGAAGTACATTCAAGAATTGACTAATCTATAACAATAAAAATTTTGAGAATCAAAAGTTTAGAAGTTTGAGTAGTTATAGTCAATTTTTAAAAGTAATTAAGATTGTACACGTGTAAAGTCGACGTTAAATGACCATTATAATGTTTTTTTCTTTAAATACTCGAATTTGGATTTGAGTTGGAGGTCATAAAAACTTCACACAAACTTATTTTATACATTATTTTGCCTACTCTCATGACTTTTAGTTTTGAGGGGTGATTGTATGTATTTATGTACCATTTATTTTCTTTTCTTTAGTATAATATATATTTACTTTATTTTCACTTGGTTTTAGTTTAGTATCTGAATCTTATTCTAAATGCTTTGGATATAATTTTTTTTTATTGATATTCATATTAATCAATTGATCATTGTAACATTTACTTTATATGATACTAATTTGATAATAATGATAAAATTTTACTTTTGAAATTATAATTTGTTATTTAAGTTGAAGTTGCTAGTTTGAACATAAAGAATCCACTAAATGAAATGCATTGAAAACAAATTGGAATTGATAGATAAACTCATACGAGTTTATAATCAATCGTAGCTCTCAAATCTTTATCTTCTATTTGAAGTTCATTGAGATAAGGATGAACATTTTTTGAAACTTCCTTCAAAGAAATAAGCTTTTCCTTTATTTTTAGAAGTCTTTCTTTATCTTCTTTCATGTTAACTTTGATATGATATACCTCTTGTTTCATACTAAATCATTTGGATTGAAGTTTAAAAGTTGCAATAAAAGCTTGAACATACTCATATAGTTATATAATGATTTCTATAGGAAGATCAAAATAATTGTTCAAATGGTCAAGCATTTTTCTTACTTGTACTTTAAAATGAGAAATTGTAAGAGTTTGGTCTAAATCTTCCACATAATTTTGTAGTCATAAAGAGGAGAGCTTTAACTCAAAATCTTCCTTTCTTGATGTAGATTCATCTTCAACTTTCTTATTTGAAACAGATAGACCATTTAGCCAATTCTTTAGAACATCAAACATATCACCTTCTTGGTTATCTTTTTTAGTGTTTTGAAATAATTGAGCTATATCAAAGTCGAAGGTGGAATATGTTTGAGGAATATTGGATAAAGGAGGAAGAAGATCCATATTGGTTTTGCTCGAAAGAATGATGATAAACTTTTTTTGTTGTAGATGTTTTTCTATAACATTTTATTTAGTGGTACATAGACATCAAATATGGTTTTTTTTTTTGTAGTTGAAGATGCTAAAAAACACCAAAAGGAAAGAAAAACAACAAGCAACAAGAAAAACATAAACTAGAATCTCAGAAAACGCTCTCCAGCAGCATCCGCTCGAAGCAATGGAACAACATCCAGAGGAGGCTCCATAAAATTAGTTAATCTGTCAGGACACCTAAGGCCCAATTTTGCAAAAAGTCTGCACACTTGTTGCATTCTCTAAGGACATGAGATATAGAAACTGCCCAATGCTTGCCCAATAGTTTGTGAATTTCTTGCACCAAATAAGGTTTGCAACATATTATTGAGTTGTTAATAAACATTAAAAAATATTCAAAATGATGAATATTAGTTTTGTTTGTATAAGTATCTAATAAAGGGGGACCCTGCAAAGAAGGAGATAAAATCAATTTCTTTTCGATTTGCTTGAAGGAACAATTTTTGGCAAAATAATAACACTTCCACCAACACTTAAAAACAAAAAGGCATCTTTAAAAGAGAAAAGGATGAAGGTTAAATTTGCATGTTTCAACATAAGTGATAGAAATTTTTTTATATCACTACTTTTAACTTGAATAATTGATTTTTTCTCTATTGACGTCAAATTGGAATTGGTCTCATCTGACATAGGCCATGCTGATGTGCAAATAGTTGAAGTTGGTATAAGTATACCCTGACCTCTTTCAACTTCATACAAGATATTATGATATCCCAAGACAGAAAATCTTTCTAAATTTTGATCATATCCACGAAAATATTATCCACCTTATTGCTATCTTTTTACCAAATTGGTCCAACAACATCCAATTAAATGAATGGGGCTAAATCTTCAAAGAAAACTTTGAAATCAAAAATTGTGTTAATATATTTCTTGTAAGTTTTTATCACCCTTTTCTTGGGGATTAAAAAAGTCAACTTAGCACCTTTTAAGTTGTAAACATTGGAGTTAGAAGGTTTAGGTTTTGGTGGAGATAATTGCAATTTTTTTCTCTCCCAAAGATATCATTAAGCAATAATTGGAGAAGCCAGAGAGAATCAAAAAGGTTTTGAAGGACTTAATTTTTTGACAAAAATTCTTGCGCTTCATCGAAACTAGTGTAGAGAGAAACCAATAATGATTTGCTTAAACATGCTTTTTTTTTCTCTCTCAAATGAAGAGATTAAGCCAACGTGTATTAATATTATGGGATTTGAAGAAAAGAAGTGCAAAAAACACAAGTAGGCAACCAATACATTAAAAATGCAATATGTTCACCAATTCTTACTAGAGTACCTTCCTCTCCGAGATGAGCAACAATGAAAGGGGTATAGGTTTTCTTATGTAACGACCCGGCTGGTCACTACACACAACACAGTACACCTGAAAACTGGACAGAAAGGAGCAAGTGTAGACATATAGTGTCTAGAATATACATATATACATGGTCCAAGTCTGACTAGATTCAAAATGTACAAAAATACATCCAAAGCTACTACACCAAGTAGCTGAAACAACAAAACATCAACAAGAGTCAGCTCTGCCTTCCAGCTGCAGACTCATCACTAGTCACCACCTATCCCTGCTCTGCTCCCATACATAGTATGATCATCGCAGTCCAAACCACATGGAAACAACAAAGGCTAAGCTAGTGAAAAGAATCAACATATAAACATATACATGAAATATGAACAACTACAACTTATCAGCACAACTTCAATATACACCTCATCAACTATACAGCGTAAACAGCAATAAGCATACAATGCGTCGTCACGCATATCATCTCGGAGATCTCCTACAACAACTCAGCCTTGCGGCCTACAACAACTCAGCCTTACGGCCTACAACAACTCAGCCTTTCGGCCTACAACAACTCAGCCTTACGGCCTACAATAGTTTATATCAGCATACAACACAACACATCTTACAGCATATAGCAACAACAGCTTACAGCACGGCACAGCTCATCAATATACATTTGATACGGCTCAACTCAGCAATAAATATCTAGTACAGCTCAACATCACAATTCTACATCCTCAACTATAATCAACACAGTACATTTTACGGCACATCTAAACGTCTTACAACAATATACTTCCAACATAGCTCATCATCATCAAACAGAATTTTCTACTAATCATCACATCATATTCATCAACTTCGACTTATACTCAACATAAACAACTTCTAACAGCATTTAGTGGAATCTCATCTCCGCGCCCGGTGCACTCGTGGTTGCGCCCAGCACGGTACAACCAGAGAGCACCAGGGACAAGAGCGCCCAGCGCGAGCATGCCCGCGCCCGGCGGGATCCAGCCAGAGAGCCCAAGGCTCACACGTGCCTGGCGCAATACCAATTGCGCCCAGCGCCTGCCAGGCAGAGACTCCGTCTCTCGCGCCCAGCGTGCCTAAACCCGCGCCCAGCGTGGGGAAGGCAGAGACCTCCCTTGGTCTCGCGCCCAGCGCAATTCAAATTGCGCCCAACGCCCTTGAGGCAGAGACTCCCAAGGAGTCTCACGCCCA